TTCTAATTATATCGTTTTTGTGTTGAGAATTGAAACTTGTGCGTGGCTTGGTTGGAAGAGGACGCTAAGCTGGTGGTCTCTTGTAGAGAAGCAATAAGTCACGTAACATTTTTAGTGGCAAAATCTGTTTCTTACGAAATTTGAAGTAAATGGCTAGATGATTTTCTGTGTCACTTGCGTTTATTTTCAATACTTATTCAAACTCGAGTCTTAATTTTTATCTAGATATGGCTACTGTTCAGTCGGGTTTGTACAATTATACCCCCTGCTCGCGTTTCTGCCGAATTCATTCTAAATCGTGAAGAATTCTGGTTATCAGTTAGAGGAGAAGGGAAATATATACGTAGGTACGGTCGGTGACCCATTTTAAGCGCTGCTCTTGCATACGGATTCAAGGAGACCACCTATGAGAGCAGGGAGTCTTATAATTCTTATCTATTCAGTGTCCAACTCAGACATTTGTATGTAGGGATCTTAGAACATCTCGGAATATGAAGATTCAGCTACTACCTTGAAATTACATTCGCTAACACATCCGGCTTCGAAAAGCGAAATTATATTCGGTAACACACAATATTGGCATTTTTAATGTTTTAAAAGTCAACACAAGTTGTTCTGTAGTAATTAATCATAAATTTGTTATTTTTTAATAATTAAAATTAATGTTTACGTTTATTAATGGGTTTTTATTTTTGCTTTTAAATAGAACATGTTCGCAAAATATTGCAACATAACTAGATATTTTGAATTAACTTAGTACTTTCAATTATTTATAATTTACTTTCAAAACTGCGATACTTGAAATTGTATATACACAATTGTAATTTCTATAGTGAACTAGTTAACGAAAAATTTGAAGAGCGTTTTGAGATGTCAATTTAAAAATTTATGAAATAATATCAAAAGTGTTACGTAAAAAAATGAGGATTGAAATACGTGAAAAATTCTTAAATATTCCAAAACTACAGAAACAATTGGATATTGTATTTTGTGTACTTGCCGGGTAACAAATGAATTCGGGGCCAAAACATGATTAAATTTTCGAATCTAGACATGAAAGGTCTTAGATTTAATAGCCCCTAGAAATCCCTTAAAATATGCCAAAAATTCAAAATCAGTCAAAAATCTATAAATGTCGAAAATAAAACAACCCCGAAAAAAACGACCTAGTCGTAGTGGGTCCCTTCTACAACTAACAAAAACTACATACTATTAACATTTGAAAAATATACTAAAATTCCTGTATACGTAAAATGTCATATGCGAGTTAAAATGTGAAGTGACTATAGGGGCCTATAAATGCAGTTTCACGCTGCGCACTCTATTTTGTAACAAAAAATATATCCATTTTAGAATGTACAGCTCTCAGCTCTCGGACTCGCTAATAACTAAAAGCACCAGCAACCTTGAGCCTACTTCCCATTTTTGGTCATGATCACGATTTTCCGGGACAGAAACATCACGTTGTCACAACTTTAGCAGGATGCTTGCGTACTCGAGAAAAATATCAAAGATTTACAAGCTACAAGCAGCCTGAATCCGGCGGCTAGTACAGCCTCAAGAGCGACATCAACCTGCTGGCTATCATTTGAACACATCGCTCTTATTATATTTAATAGATTGAAAGAATAAAAATTACAAAACATTTGATACTATTTAAGTACTGCAGTATGTAGCATGCTTTTCTATTACGTGTCATTTTTTTGCTCATAGTCAGTTTACTGTAAACACAGAACAGAACATCTACCACTACTGCAGACATGGCAGTGATTGCGATGATTTGGCAATCCATTTGAATTGTGAGCCAGGAAGTTTGTTCCAAACCTAATTTTCTCGAAGACTTTTTTTTCTGAGAAATACTAAATCTCCCATTTTTTATGAAATTTTACTTAGAATCTGAGCAATTTTGGTCAAGGTAGCTTCCGGGTACCTGCATATCATTCTAATTTCCATGATCTACTCACAGTTTGCTTTTCGAAATGTTTCGTATATAATGTTATATTTTATTTAATTATTATTGTGCAGTTTTTCGGGGGCCGCCACTACCAAATTTTATGGACGGGGCTGAAAGGACCTGGTACGTAGAATCAGCGCCTATGATTAACGCCCAACTCGAAATAATGCCAGCCGAATAAACTGAATTGTTGTTGTCGACAACCGTTAGCGATGCAAAGTGCGTTCCGTTGAATCTGCTTGCGAATATGTTCCGAGCACACTGACAGTAGTATACGGTTTATTCGTGAGATTATTCAACTATGAAATAAGGTAGTAAGTAGGTAAGATAATGGAAAAACGGAAAAAAGTTATCGTTTACTGATAAATCCAAATATTTTACCTCTAATTCTAAAATACACATTGTTGGTAACTATAAATAGAGCTTCGAAAATATTCGTCATACGTCATAAGAAGTTTAAAATGTCTTTGTCAAAACAATCAAACACTCGTACGCTTAAAAATGCCCGATGTGTAGGCATGGCAAAGGCTGCTCCCAGAGCGCAGGGCCCGCCGGCCCTCGCCACTCCGTTTGGTGCGCCCGGGGCACTGGAGCCCATCTGCGCGGGCGGCGACCGGAAGCTGCCTGCGTCGGTGGCACGACGACTCGGCCTCCGCGCTCGCGACGAAGGCACCACTGCCCCGACGGCGGTGTCTTTGTTTGAAGGCGCGCCTCCACATACACACATACGGGAGTAGGAACGGGAACTCACGACTTGCGTCTTCGTCGTCACGGTCAACGTGAAACGTTGAAAATCGACTTATTCGCAAAGAATAAAATGCGCAAATGTCCGATTACATTGTTTGGCTAAAAGATAAGGGTGATTTTCTGCTTTCAGAGATAACATCAGGTTACAGCTCATTCCCTAGGGTCATTGATCGATATTCTTGTAAAATCGGAAAGATCTGTATTATCTCTTTATCGTTCACCTATTTTGTACTTAAACAAATGGATTCAAGGTTTCAGCAAAATGTGTGATAATATTTTAGACAAGAAATAAAAACTTTTTCATATATCCAAACGTTTTTGCATTAGTATTCTAGCAATCAATACATTGTTTAAAAAATAAATCGAACATTACAATGTTAAACAAACAAAATAAATAACATTTACGTTTTCTCGTAATAGATTGGAGGATTGTGTTGGACCTACTAATTTTTTACTAGCGTATTTTTGAAATTTTTAATAATAAAATGATGTTGATTCGAACTTTAGTTACTTATGAACTGTAAATATTTTTGAGCGATTATGAAATAGTTTTTCGTGTATTTTTTTAATAAGGAAAAAAACGTTTGCATTAGGACTAAGATACTTTCAGCAGGTAAATACCAGTATTATTGTTCTGTCTGGAAAATATCAGCAACACTAATGTACAACAATATTCAAACTACAACAATTTAGTTTGTGTGTCTCCTGGGAAGTCAACAAATTACAAGTGATTTTTAACTACACTCATAGCTGAAGACTAAATCACTGTAGGTCCATGATACATATATCCAAGACATGACGTCTTCCCCTATTAAAAATAGGTTGTGTGAAAAGTGTTAAAAAATCTTTCAAGTTCTTTATGAAATTACACGAAATAACTTTTTAAAGCTTTATTTACCGAGTATATATTCCTCTTTTACGGTGCTGAAATTGTATAAAACAATTTCAGCGAAATTTCTTCTAATCAAAATTAATTTCTAGAATATACACAAAGCAAGTCTTGTAACACGAACCCTCCATATCTCTTCACAACGTTTCAAATGGGTTCCACACATGACATATGGCTTCCCGCGATTACTCTCGATCACGTCGACACATTTTTGAGGACTGGGAAGCCAGAGCGCGCCCTCTGACGCCGCTCTGTGTAGTTGAAACGCCCTCCACGCGCAGCGCTCGCGTCGCGATCCGCAACAAAGAAGCTTCCCGGCCGGCGGCGCGGTGGCCGGAGCGGGGCAACAAAAATCCAGAGAAGCCCTAGCGGAAACATTTTTAAAATTAAAATCCCCGTTCAATTACGCGACGGGTCGCTCGTACTGTCTCGCGTCTGGCTTCCGCCCTCGCACTCCTTTCGCAGCCTCTTGCCGTCCCCACTCGCCCTCCGCAGTCGCGCTTCCACCGCCACTCGATTGCCCTCCTCGGGGCCGACATTTCTGCCAACTCACGCCCCTGCTTATCATTGTTATCGGCTTATTTGCCCTTCTGTCGCATTATCTCTCCATCGTTCTTATACATCCAGTTGGAGTTTTCTTTATCATTAAGTCACATCTACAATCTTCATTGGGTTACATCCAAATTTCTTCCTGCAGTGCGTATGACTGGGAGGGTCTAGGATTCCAGACCTGATAGCGGCAGAATTTTGGACACTAGCTACATAGCAGTGCTGTCAAATTCAACCGCCCTCTGGAGGAGAATTCTAGCGGTCGGCTGCTCTGCTCTACGCAGGAGATTAGTCGAGAGCTTAGAGTTAGTCCCGGCTGGAACGTTGCTTCGCTGATGAGAGATACCTGGTTCAGAAAAATCCCGCTAGGTGACGGGTATGTCGGCGCCGGATCTCACCATCTAGCAGGGGAGGATCACCGCCATCCTCTGAGGGAAACGCATGCACTACACTTACGGAACTAATGAACTGGGCAGTTGACGCGCACGGAATCGCTTATCAATCAATCCAATTTCTTTTTATCATTATTCGTATTCTCACTTTCTTACATTTTCACATTCGTGTTCTAACCAATCCCTCATCCTTCTTGGCAACACTGTAATTCATGAAATTTCCACAGTTGTGCTTGGCCTGTACCCATTGCCTTTCCTGCCCTCATATTCTCCCTCAACTCTAACCTTCGCGTACCACCCTCAACTTCCCGCCCATTCCCCAGCTCCCTCCTTCTCCTGTCTCCCCTCCC